CCTGTATCTGAGGAAGGCTCAGTCCCAACAGCTACTGCTGCTATGTCTCTGTTGGTGCTGACCCATCCTCAGCTGCATCTGGCCCTGGCAGGGATCATGCGCCGGAACTCCCTGAGTGGCAGCAGTACGGGGTCCCAGGATCAGCGGCCGAACAAAGGGGTGACGTTTGCTGGAGACTTCAGCCGGATGGTGAGTCAGGACAAGCATTGCTCCATGGGCCTCAGCCCTGTGTATGGGACCTCCCAGCTCATTCACTCCCTACCCAGCAGACCAGAAGCTTGGCTAAGGCATGTACCAGGAGAGGGAGTAGGAGGGTGGAATGCCTCCTTCCCCAAAACTGGGCCTGAGCTCCCTTTCTCAGCAGTTCATGCTTGTGGCTGCACGCTCCTGGGGAGCAGCCATGGCCTGGCCTGCTGTGGTAGCTCTGATGCTGGCTTCTTCTAATGTTTGGGGCTCCCTGTCAAGAGCCATCACTGTCTCACTTCTTTGTCTTTCCAGTAGTTGGCTGGTCAGGAGTGACTTGCATGGACTACCTCAGCCAAGCGCTTGCTGCACTAGAGGTCCAGTGAGGGGCCCTGCTGTGAGCTGGGAATCCTGTGCTGTAGTTCCCTTCCTGGTACAGAGGCAGCACGGGCTCTGTGGGGGAAGAGAGCAACTTCCAGTGGGAACAGAAAGCACCTGCTGTTGTTTATCCCTTTGAATTCAACTTCTGCAGGCCAGGGAGCCTCTGTGAGAGTGCTCCATGGGCTAGAGGGGCATGGAGTCCTGGCCCAGCCCGATACCTGTGAGGTCAATCTATCCTTCTTCAGCCTCAGGAGCCTGAGCCAAAGCTCCAGGCATGTGATCAACCACCTTACAACCCCCCAGTCCTGCCCCTTCTCTGCAGTCCCTCCCCTTGTTCAGATGGCAGGAGCTACAGGGAAGTAGGGGGAGCCTGGCTCTGAAGGGAATGGGGGAGGGCACAGCAGAAAGGGAAAAGTATGCAACAGGGCAGTGGCCCAACTCCACACACACAGCAGCAGTCTCTGGAGGGCCCCAGACCTTGGTTCAGAGTGCCTCCTTGTGGTGATCACTGCAAAGAGGTCAGCTCCCTCTAGCCTTTCCCACTGCATTTCATTCCCCCACACCTCCCCTCCTTTCAGTTGCAGCAAATGTAACAGTCTCTGAGGGACTCCCCAGGCACATTCTGCCCCAGGCCTTGTTTGCTGAAGGCAGGGCTGGGGCTATGGAAATGTGTGCGTCAACATCCCTCCCCTTCATGGCAGCTCTTGCCTCTGCTTTGCTCCCAGCCTCCAGAGTCCAAAGGTTGTGTGTGGATGGATGCTTTTGTCTCCTTGGGAGCCCTTGACCCAGAGCTATAAGCCAGCAGAAAAAGCCCAAGTGCACTAATGCCTCTGTGTGTTCTAGTATCAGGCAAGCCCTCTGCCTTACACCATGCGCTGCCTGACACTCTGCCCTATGCTGAAGACAATGTCTGCTGTTCCAGAGCCAGGTGTGGCTAGCCCTAGGCTACCATGCAGCTTGCCACCTGTTTCAGCTGAGCTGTGAGAGATGCTGCTGCCATGTGAAGTTCTGCCTCTGCCCTGGTAGAAAACAGAACAGGCTAACAATGTAAAAACCTCTTTGTACAGGGGTTGTTAATAAAGTAGAGTGAACAAAGGGGAAGCAGTCTTTTATTGCTTTGAGACCGCACAACTCCAGCAGCAGAGCAAGAGTGGCCACAAGGGCATCCTAAAGCAAACAATCTTTCCTTCTGTAAAAATGCATTCCAGTGCCTTCCCCCTTTCCTGCCAAAGATGGATGAAAAACAAATCTTAGCTTGTGTTGCCTGGTTTGTGCATAGGCTGGAGGACAGAGAAGGAGTAGGACAAGGACAGCCCTGTGCCACTAACTAGTATGCACATGTCCAGCCAGGCCTTAGTGCACATGTTGGATTTAGTATGATGATAAAAATGAATGATTGAAATGGGAAGTTTCCCTCCCTAACAACCAAAACATCTTAGGGAAGCAGGTTACTGAAAATGTGCCCATAGGTTCCGCCCCCACGTACCATTGCAGGGGTCGGGCCATAAGGGAATCTCTGCCTGCTGCATAAGGGGCACAGGGGACCGGCCGCTCGCTTTGGTTCAGTGCGCCGCGGGGTTGGGAGGGCACACGGGCCGTCACAAGCCGGGTCAGCTGGTTGCGCTCTTGGCCGCCCGGGCGCGGGCCGCCGCCGCCTCCTCCTCCAGGTCGTCGAGAACCCGCTCCTGGGATACCGAGTAGAAGGTGTAGGCGTCTGCGCGCCTGCTCAGGAAAACGCCGGCACCGCCCCTGGCCCGCCCGCCCGCCGCCTGGCCCCGCACCCCCGTCCCGGCAGGATACAGATGCCGAGCGTGATGGAGCCGATGCCGAGCGCCAGCAGCACGTTGCGGCCGCGGAGCCTGCGCTGCATGACGCGCTGCTGATGCGCGTGCTCCACGTTCTGCACGAGGCGGCGCTGCTCGGCGCTGAGGCCCGGATCCCGCGCGGGGTCGATCTGCTTCGCCACTCCGTCCTCGCGCGGCCCCGGTGGTGTCGCCATGCTATACGCTCACTTCTTCCGCCTCGGAAGTACGGCGGGCGGGGCGGCGACGTCACATCCGCACGGGGATTAGCGTGACGCCACCCGCGCCGGGCGCCGTTGCCACCATCTTTGATAAAGGCCAAAAGCGACTGACCCCCTGACCCTCAAACCCCTATCCCAGGCCTGGCCAATCTCCACATGCGGCAGAACGTCTCGAAGCGGGAGAGGGAGGAAGGCGCGCAGCAATTGGGGGATCCACGTCACGTGACCAGAAGAAGAGCAGAGGAGGGAGGGGTTGTGGCAGCCCCACGCGCTGTGGGGATGGCCCGGGCCGGCCCCGCCCGCGCTCCGTGCGCATTCGGGCGGCTGCTGGGGCCGGCCTTCGGCGCGGCTGCCCCAGAGCTGCTGGAGGCGGCGCTACTGCGCCTGGCGGCCGACAATGAGCGGCGTCTGCGTGACCTACCGGCAGCGGCGGGGTGCTTCCGCGAGCCGCGCGCCACGGGTCAGCAACGGCTCCGGCCGCGCCCCTGCCCTGCCCTGCCCTGAGCGCGGAGGGCACCGCTCTCCGCTCCCCTCCCGCGGGGACTCCAAGTGCCCTTTTCTCCGCAGAACTGATCTTCCTTCTAGCGGAGAAGTGGCGCCTGGACCCCCCTGCCCGCTACCAGGCGGCGGAGATATTCGACAGGTACCGCCGCGCGCGGGGGGCCGGGCCTGCCTCGCCACCATTGAAGCCCCCCGTAGCGTGATTCTGCGCGTGAAGAACACGGAGGGCCTCGGCACCACCCGGCTTTGCTGCCCAAGCACTGGAAGATTGTCTTAAACTTGCCACATACACACATCTCCACCCCACCCCCCTGCCATGCCCCACTGTGGTTAGGAAAAACCCCTGCCCCTACCCTCCACTTGCTCCCCCCTTCCCTCCCGGCTTCCCCTATACAGCAGCTCTGGCCCTGGTTTGGGTCAGCTGCAGCTGGAACCACAGGCACTTCCCTGCCCTCATCTAGGCTGGACCAGGGTGGCTCTTGTGGCAGGGGAGGGTGTGTAGAAACAGGAGCAGGGGGAGACCACTGGTGGGTGTCTTTCCCCCTACCACCCAATCCATTTCCCCACTCCCCCTCAGGCAGCAACAGCCCCAGTCTAGAGCCCTCCCCCATACTGAAGGGGGAGCAGGGGGGAGAAGGAAATCTGTCTTGGGTTCCAGTACATAGGGTGTACTCTTCATTTTGCAATGCTCAGTTGCAGGCTGTAGAATATTTTTCTCTCTGCCTTTTAACCATCTCTGTATCTATGATTTATAGCTGTAGAGTGTTCTTAATGCGCACACAAACTGCTTTTCTTTCCATTAGCAAGAGGCAGTTGCTTCCTGAGAGCTGGACTTTTCTTGCAGGTTTATGATTAAGCAGGTACAAGAGATGTATAATTCCACCAAAGAGTCAGGGGAAAGCAGTGAACAAGGATACAGCCACAGCTGGAATTCTTTGAAAGCACAGATGCACAACACGTTTATGCTGCGTCTTGCGTCTTGCATCCAGCTTGCAAGCAAACTTTCCTTCCACTACAGCGTAAGCAGACCAAACACTTCCTCATTGCAGCTTTCAGCAGTATAGGATAGCATTTGTCATTTAGATTTCAGTCTCTCTTATCTCCAGGTCACAGAACTTATTACTGTTTTCAAAGACAGCAGTGACATGAATTAAGAACAGCTTGGGTGTAGATCTAGATCTCCATCCATTTTAAGGAAAATAATTTTTACTCAGAAAATACCCCTGCACTTTCGCAACAAACTAGGGAAAAGAACCAACAACTCACGGAGTTACTGCTCAAAGTCCCATGACTTGTGTTATCCAGTTGCTAGTAAGAGCACAAAATCCAGTATTGTGGTGGGAGACATAAGGTACTGCTGTGACTCACAGTTTACCCAAGTTCTTTTTCTTAGTGTACAAGCCCCGTTTACTCACTGGAGTGATATTGAATCATTGTTCGCTGCGTGGCCTTTTCTTTTTAGAGATGCTGTAACAAGTTTCTCTGCTTTAATTTAGCTAGTGTTAGTTCTTTGGATGCTTTTTGAGAAGTGAACTGAGATTTCATAGAGCCACATTTATTCCACAACACGTGTATATAATGCAAATAAAATAAGATGTCCTAAGATACCTAGAATCAGAATCACTGATTTCACATCCAATAGGACACTGACCTCTATGAAGCTCAATATTTGGTACTGCCTGGCAGGGGAGCAATAATATGGCAAAACCTACCCAACTTGGTTTCCTCTTCTAGCTTAGAGGACATGTTAGACATAAAAGCTAATGACAGGTATAACTGAAGCAGGAAATATCAGCAAGTTATGTTAATAACTAAAGCATGGGTTTTGAGAAAACGCATCTCACTGCTGGAAAGGGGGTGTTATATATTAAAAACAACACAAAATAAACTTATTTTTTTTTGCTTCCAGATAGTTAACAATAACATGGTTCTGAAATTTCTGCAGTCTTTAGACTATTCATTCACTAAACAGGAATTGCTGGAGTCAGAACTTGCCGTTTTGAAGGGTCTGCACTTCCAGATCAATGTGCCAACTCCTTTGGCCTATGTTGAGTTGCTCCTGGAAGTCTTGGGTAAGGGCATGAACAGCAGGAAACAAATGTGTAGAAACCAAAAGGCTAAAAAGTAGAAAATACGGAAACAGTGAATCTGAAGGAGTGTCAGATTAATCTTTTGCAGAGATAAAGTCATATATGAAGTGACAGTGGAAAAAAAAGATTGTCCCGGTGGGCAAGCCATCATTACTAATGGGGAAAAAAACCCTAAAGATTTGATGCATTCTATTTAGTATCATTTCCTGGGGTAAATCTTAGGTCTTGTTCTACTTTTCAAAATAAAATCTGCTTGAGAGTCATCTGTCACACATGATAAAATAAGCTTTACTCTTTTGTACAGATCAAGGAATCCAGCATTTCTGCTCTGCAGGATGTAGTTGGCTCCCGGACTCATTTGGCAAAACACTAATAAAAACTTAATAAATTTACTCCCCGGCCCCCAATCTCCCACTAGCCCTTCCTCTTCCCAATTTACCTTGGATTGGGTGGCTATTTTAACACAATCTAACTTCCACATAATCTCCCCAAATGTCTATAAATACCCTTGAACTCAAAACAGGGTAAAGTTCTCAGAATATTAGCAGGCTCTGTCCTAC